AACACAAACAAAATGCAAACACAAACAAAATGCAAACACAAACAAAAAAATCTAATGCGAACAAACAAAAAACACACGCAAACACAAAAAAATATGCGAGTTTGCTGGTGTTTTTACTGTTTGCAGCATTTGTCTGTTTGCTGCATGTGGTGCATTTGTGTTCGCATGTGTTATTTGTGGTTGCATGTGTTTTTGTGTTTGCATGCAGGTTTTTTTGTTTGCGTTTGATTTTTTTGTGTGTTTGTATTTGTTTTTTGTGTTCGCATTTTTTTTTTGTGTTTGCGTGTTTTTTGTGTTTGCATTTGATATTTTAAGACCCTGATGATGCGAAACACAAATGGACTTAATGTTCCCTTGCCCGGACATGGGTCACCGGGGCCCCTCTATGGAGCCAGGCCTGGAGGTGGGGCACGCGGGCATGCGCCTGGTGGCCAGTCTTTTGCTCATGGAGCTGGGCCGGGCACAGCCAGAAGAGGAGACGTGGATCCCCCTTCCCATGGGCAGTTTAAACCGGTGTCACCTGGTGATGAGCGGTTGAGATCACGTAGGAGCTGTGCAGCGTAAGTAAATGACAAATTTCAGGTAAATCAAACAAATTAAATTAAAATAAATTAAACTCAGGTAAAACAATCGAATACATTAATATTTTTCATAAAATTTTTGTTATTACTAACCTGTGCTTTTTTGTTTCAATAAAACAAACTGGACGAGGAGACGTTGAACAGTCTTGAAAGCTACCTGGACACGTGCTTTGAAAATATAGTGATGGGTAAACCTTGGAACACCGCGCCCAAGGCTACTCCAACATCCAAGCGCACGCGTTCAGAGAGCTCAAGCGGCACGTCCACGTCTCCTGAGAAAAGCTTCACCGATGTTCTGGAGTCCATCGACAAAAAGTTATCAAGTTTAGATGCCCGACTGGCTCTCGTTGAAGCTCTCCACAAAGAATTTCAAGCGTTGAGGGAATCTCTGGAGTTCAGCCAAGCTCAGGTGGCGTCGCTAGCTGCAGAAAACCAATCTCTGAGGGGAGACGTTAAAGATCTCACTGAGAGGATGACGCAGATATCCGGAGAAAACAGGAAAATGAAAGAGTCCATCCTGGACCTCCAAGCTCGGAGTATGCGGGATAATCTTGTCCTCTCTGGGATCCCTGAACGAGGAGAGGAGGACGCAGAAGCTACGATCCGTGAGTTTATCCAACGTGAGCTGAAACTCCCAAGTGAGACCGTAAAAAAGTTCACTTTCCATCGTGTTCACCGGCTCGGAGGTAAGAGGCCCGATAACAAGCGACCTCGCCCAATTATAGCTAAATTTGAGCATTATAAACAGAAAGAGCAGGTGAGAAGTCAGGGCAGAGAGCTGCGTGGGAAAGATTTCAGCGTTAATGATCAGTTTCCTAAAGAAATACTCGATCGGAGGCGAGTTTTATTTCCAATCAGGAAAAAATCATGTCTGAGGGCGCCAGAGCTACAGTTGCTGTAGATAAACTGTATGTTAACGGTCAGCTGTTCAGGGAACGGGACATCACTCCATGGCTTTATTAAAAGAAACAACAGCTTGGTTTAAAGCAGGGCTGTTCAACGTATGACCCGTGGGCCAATTCAGGTCCACGGATGGGCCAGGTTCGGTCCAACAATGAGTTCTTTATTTTTTCTTTCTTTGTTTATATATATATATATATGTATGTATATGTATGTATGTGTATATGTATATGTATATATATATGTGTGTATGTATATATGTATGTATGTATGTGTATGTATGTATATATATATATATATATATATATATATATATATATATATAT